ACATACACTTCAGTGACATCTTTAAAGATAGAGCACCCAATGCAATGATAGTGAGGACAAGGATAAAAATGGGTGGGACTACATCAAGTTAAAGAGCTTCTGCACAGCAAAAGAGACATTACAAAAGACAAACAGACATCCCACTGATTGGGAAATAATTTTCTCACAGAAAACTAGTGATAAAGGATTGATCACAAAAAATATATGGAGAACTGATGAAAATCAACAAAAATAAACAACCCCATCAAAAAATGGGCAGAAGAGTTACAAAGACGCTTCTCCAAACAGGAAATGCAGATGGCCAACAAGCATATGAAAAAAAATGTTCACTTGTAATAAGGGAAATGCAAATAAAACCACATTGAGATAGCACCTCACCCCAGTGAGAATGGCACATCTTAAAAAAACTAACAACAAATGTTGGTGAGGATGTGGAAAAACAAGGAACTCTCCTGCATTGCTGGTGGGAATGAAAACTAGTACAACCATTATGGAAAACTTTTTGGAGATTCCTCGAACTGCTAAACATGGAGCTTCCCTACAACCCCACTCCTAGGTATCTACCCAAAAGACGTCTCCTAGGTATCTTCCCAAAAGACGTGAAAACACTGATTGAAAAAGATACCTTCACCCATGTTTATTGCTTCTTTATTTACAATTGGAAAGGCTTGGAATCAACCCAACTGCTCAAAACTGGATGACTGGATTAAAAAGATGTTGTCCATATTCACAATGGAATATTATGCAGCCATCAAAAGACAAACACATGCCTTTTGCAGCAACATGGATGGAGCTGGAAAAGATCATGCTTAGTGAAATAAGCCATAAAGAAAAGGAAAAATACCAGATGGTTTCTCTCATTACAGGAATATAACAGAACAGGCGAGAAAATAATGATAATGATGAACAGCTATATAGCAGAGACATTTTGTGGAGGTGGAGTGGGGAATGGGATCGAAAACAGTGGTGGAAGGAAAATACACTGGGTTATGGTGATCAGACATGGGTGATTTGGTGATGGGAAACCCAAGGGGATTGCAACTGAGATGGAAAAATGCACAAAAAATATGTAAAAATAAACTATATATATAAAGATTAGTCATCCTAACTATGGATAATTATTGCATATTTATTTGTGTGTATATAATCTAAAGTTATATAGTTTATTGCATTTATAAGAACTGCCAAGCACAATAATTGCACATACCATATATATGTAGATAGATAGACAGATAGATAGATAGATAGATAGATAGATAGATAGATAGATAGATAGATAGATAGATAGATAGATGGATGGATGGATAGATAGATAAACAGACAGATAGATAGATGATAAAACTAAGCCAAAAATAAACAGACAAAGAGCTTCCTGTTGGGAAGTAAGGAGTCATAGTGCATAATAGTCTCATCACACAGATGATGCTCCCACCAGCGCTAATTGTGCCACTGCTCACTTGAACACTATGAAGTTCTAAACTTCCTGTTCTCTGATACTGATCCAATATTTAGAACATCATTGCTAAACAGTCTTATCATGAATAAAGATATCTCACTTGAATGAAAAAGAATTTGGTGAATTTCAGTCTTGCCTTTATAAATGTATATACCCTTGTAGTCAGAGAATCCTGACAGGGTGAAACCTGTCTCAGAAAAGCTCAGATGCAGCTGCTCTTAAATATTTTTTGACAGCGTACCTGGAGTCACCCCTGTTGCTGCCTGCCAGTACCTTACTGCACAGAACTGACTCTGACCACTTCCTGAGAATCTGATACATTTTCAAATGTTCCAGTCAAACCCTCAGCTCCTGTCCTAGTTACCTTCAACTAAATGTTTTGTCCAGCTTTCTCCTATCAACTTCTTCATAACTGCCCCACAAGAAAAGACAGTGTGAATGTGTCAGGTTAATGGGAACAAAATATATATCTTAAAATTGCCTCAATATATAAATATTTAAGCATTTTAGTAATATGACTAGACAGGGGGAAAATATCAGAAAGGACAATTATAAGACACAGTACATGTGATCCCTTTATCTTTAGTATCTTCTTTTTTAGAGAAGGAAGAAGTTTCTGGTTCCCATTATATTCTACTCTCAGCAAAAATTGAGCTCATAAATGAGAATACTATACCTAATATTTGAACACTTAACTATACACCATCCACTAAGCTATCTGCTTTAGAAGTTTATTTTATTAAATTTCCATTGCAGTTTTATGGTTTTAGAAGTTGTCATTATCCTAATTTTGCAGATTAGGAAAAGGTCTTTGCAAGATTACATGCCCAAGGTTACATACATTGTGACAGCGTTTAGACTCAAATTGAGGTCTATTTCAATACAATATACTTGATGTTATGTTATAAAGCCATATAACACCATTCTGCTACCATGTTATAATGCCTTAACACACCATTCTGTAGGATTTCAGTTTATGTTTCAACCTTTATTTATTTTTTAAAGATTTATTTATGAATACAGAGCTAGGATACAGGCCAGAGCCACAGGGGTAGAGAGAAGATTCACCAGAAAAAGAGTGGGAAGCAGAAAAGGCAGATCAATGAAGTACACTGCTCAGGGGAGTAGTGGGTGGGTCAGGAGAGGTCTGCCGGGCCATGTATGTCACCTCCTGGCCTGGGATTGAACTCATGCTGAAGTGGCTTTAGCTTTGCAGTGCTGTGCCACCAGGGAGGGTGCTCAATCTTTACCTTTAGTCAGTAAGAACTTAAAGGCAGGATTCATTTATCATTTTTTAAAAATTCCTCAGAGCATGTAATAATGCCTGATATAGAGTAAAATCTCAATGATTAGCAAATGAACAAAACAACAAATTAACAAATCAAAGAAGAATGGGATGAGTTACATTTAAAAGGAGACAAAAAAGGGCCCTCCCTGGTGGAGCAGCTGGTTAAAGCATAGCATTTAAACCCAAAAGACTGCAGCATGAGCTTGATCCTTGCCCGGGAGGTGACCACATGGCGTGGCAGACCTCTCCTGACCCACCCGCTGCTCCCCTCAGCAATGTATTTCTTCAGTCAGCATGTCCTGCTCCCCACTCTGTCTCTGGTGAATCCTCTCATGGCCCTGCATCTCTGGCCTGTATCCCAGCTCTGTATGCATTAATAAATAAATCTTTGGAAAAAAAAAAAGAGAGAGAGAGAAAAATGTGAAGTTTGTGTAAAAAGCTAATTCTACTCCAAGAATAATATGCCTTTGGTTAGTGTTGGGTCCCTTTATTTCTATTGCCACAGAATTTTATTATAAGCACCATTTTTACTTTAGAATTAAATAAAATGCTTTCAAAAATATGTACTTTATTCCAGCATTTAAATGAATGCTTGAAATTCCATAATCAGAACATGACACAACCAAACCAGCATATAATCATATGTTTCCTATAATAAGCTACTTGAAGTGTTCTTAGGGTTACAATTTTGTAATCGAGACATGAGAGGAAGATCTGTGCTCTTGACAACATTCAACACAGACACTTCAGCTGGCTCTGGATAAAAGACAACCCCCCTCTTTTGCTTGACATAGTTGTTGTCTTTTCCTTATCAGTAAGCAGACAGTCCTGTTACCTTCACATCCTCTGCCATCTTCCTCCAGCTTCTGGCCTGCTTGACATTTGCAGTAGTAACTGCCAATTGTATTACAGCATTGATCTTCACAGCCACCATTGGCAATGGAACATTCATTTATATCTGCAATTGAATATTTAAAGAACATTAGCCTCCTATGTCTAGACACACCAGAAAGACTACAGGTGCACTCTTCAAAAAATGCACGATCCCAGAGTGACATCATTGTTTAACTGCAGATCAAATGAGATAAAACAATTATATATTTTTTTAATCAAGAAGGATACACTCTTGATATAAAGAAAAATACAGACCATACCTTTCATATATGGTATAATTTTGAATAAAATACTAAGGAATTGTTCAGTCTTATGACATTTGAAGGCTTATGATACAGAACCAGAAATTTCACATCCAAGCATCATTTGAGGATGAGATTAAAAACAGTGAGAAACTATTAAGTCAGAACAGTAGGTTACTTCTTCATTAAATTTGCAGTTATTGGCTTCTCAAATAGATAATTATTAAACTTCCACCACAGCGTACCTGGCATTTTGCTGGACAGTGTGGAGGATGTTAAAAAGCTTTCCATGGTTTCCAGAAGTTAATATCCAGCTGGGGTTGAGGACTAAAATAAGTAGTGTGATGCAGTTGTATACATTTACTGTCGAGATTCACAGCCTGCTCTTAAACCTGTGGTCAGAACATCATCCCCATGTTAAATATTCCTTCTATCTACTTTAAAGGTGATGAATTTGACAGTGACTCTTCTCAAAAAAGGCCCTTTTGGAGCCCTCCCTACTGGTGCAACGTGTTAAGCACAGCGCTATGAAGCTATTGCAGCTACTTCATCATGAGTTTGATCCCCAGCCAGGGGTGTGACCCACATGGTATGGCAGACCTCTCCTGACCCACTCATTGCTCCCCTCAGCAATGTATCTCAGTCCATCTGCCTGTTCTGCTCCCTATTTTGCCCCTGGGGAATCCTCTCACCCCTCTGCACCTCTCGCCTGTTCCGCAGTTCTCTATGCATAAATAAATAATAACAAAAAAGAGGCCATTCTACTGTATGCTAATTATCTTGCTCAATATAACTTTGCTTGATGAGATAACTGTGGTTATAAAGGAGATGGAAGGAAAGACAGAGAGGAAGTAGATTGGGGAGGGTAAGAATGGGAAAGAAGAGATTGAAAATGTGTTAGACAGGGAGGGTAGAGGAAACTAACAAAGGAGAAGCACAGAAAAAGGAGTCAAGTTACCTCTATTGTGGGACAGCAGAGAGAAAAATCCTGAAGGAATGAAGTCCTAACAGGGCCGTGACCTACCATGGACCTTAACTAGATATAACTGATTTTCTCTGAGGCCTGACTGTGTAGCTGTTAAAACTAGTTTGTTTATTTTTAGTTAGCTTTTATTTAAATGAGTTATACACAAAGAAATGTAGACAAATCTTAAGTATACAGTTTGATGAGTTTTCACAAATAAAGATAGCACAACAACCACAATAAGTAGAACATTACTCTCCAAGAAGCACTCTCCTTGGTAAAGGAAACAACTTGAGCTATATGTAAGTAGCACAATATTATGTATGTTTTTGTGTTTTAACTTCAGCACACTACTTGTAAGAGGTATGCATGCTGTTGTATACTTTTAACATGTGTTCATCTTATTTTATTACTCAATTTATGACTATATGATGGTTTTTATCTGTTCACAGCTGGGGTGGGAATTTGGATTTTTTTTTAATTTTTGGTTATTGTTAAGAGTGTTGCTAAAATACATCCTTAAATAATTTGCATGCCAAGTTTGCTGGGTACTATGTCTAGAATCAGAATTATAGGGTCCAAAGGTATGATAGGTTCTGCTTTAGTAGAACTGACAAATAATCTGCTAAAGAGTTTATTCTAATTTACACTTTCTTCAGTTTTGTACAGAAACCAAATGCTATTCATCCTTGCCTACATCTGTGCTATTCTGCTTTGTTTTTGTTTTTTTTTTTTTTTTTTCATTTCAGTTGTTCTAGGAAGTATAGAGTAGTATCACACTGTGATATTAATATTCACTTTTCCTAATTAGTTAAACTTCCTAATTAGTTAAACTAAGCACATTTTCATGTTATCGATCATTTGGATCACACCTTCCTGCAGCGTTTGTCAGGATATTTTGCCCATTTGTCCAATTTAAAATAGTGTTTTAGTTAATACTTTGTAAAAACTTCTGTGACTATGTACATGAGATAAATTTATCTGCACTATCACATTCTTATACAATTCTTGCTAGGTTTTGGTGTCCAGGTCATCTGGATGCATAAAGCAAGTGAGAATTGTTTATTCTGTCCATTCTCTGAAAATAAATATCAATGTGAGATTATTATTTCTTATCTACATGTTTGAAATAATTCACCTATTTGATTTTTTTAAGGATTAATTTATTTATTTCTGCATAGAACCACTATAAGTCAGAGGTTTTGGGGAGGGCAGTGAGAAATTCATCAGAGACAAAGTAGGGAGAGAACAGTCAGATATACTGAAATACACTGCTGAGGGGAGCAGTGGGCTAGATAGGAGAGGTTTGCTGTGCCATGTGAGCAGGTCTCAGTGGTGATAGCACTAAAACTTAACCCCTAGGCAAGCAGGGAGGCCCTGAAAGAGTTCATTATGAGGTACTTGTTTGTGTGTGTGTTTGTGTGTGTGTTTGAAAGAAACAGAGACATGGAGAGAGGTTAATTAATTACAGGTTCAATGTATATGTATAAAATATTCAGATTTTTATTCAAATAATTATCGTGGTTTTTAATCACTATAGACTAATTTTGTCAAATAAATTATGTTTTTATATTATACAGTGGATAAATTATATACCTTTCAAAGTATCTGTTCCTTTGATATAAGTGACAACTTACCTGGTAAGCTGTTTGGAATATTTGGACACTATTTTTTAATATTTTATCCAATTTACAGTAGTGCTATTTCCTATTACTTAAATAATTTACATGTATTGTATGTTACTTCTCATAATCTCTTTTGATGATCTAGTACCTATGAATCTATTGAGTTACCTCAATAAAATTTTGTTTAGAAACAAATAAAAACCTTGAGACCCCTGTGGCATAAGCATTAAAGTCTCAAGTACCATCAAGCTATCCTTGCATAAATTCTACCCCTCACCAGGCAGCTAACCTTCATAGCACAGCAAACCTTTCCTGTCCCTCCAACTGCTCCCCTCAGCAGTGGATTTCATTGGCTCTCACTGTTTTGCTCTCCTCTCTGTCTCTGGTGAATCCTCTCATCCATCCCCACACACACATCAGGCCTGAAACCCGTTCTTGTATGCATAAATAAATAAAATAAATCTTAAAAATAAACATAAAAAATATGTATAATTTAAGACTGTTAATAAAATACTTTATTCCATTATTAACAAAACAAAATGTTAGTACAATGAAAATTGATGAGTAATTATATGAGCAATATATGAATTATGTAATTCATTTTCAATAATTTCAGCTAATAAACAAGGACACTTTGAAACATGATGCTTAAGAAAATACCTGATGTACTAATTGTGAAATATTTGAATGCTACATGGAGTTCAATAATCTAAACTAACATCAAACATACACCATTAAACCGGACCCTCAGTTTCAACTTACGTGATTTTACATTTGTTTCTTTTTTTTTTTATGATTCATTTATACATACATACAAGAACTGTGGCATAGGCCAGAGATGAGGGGATTGAGAGGATTCACTAGAGACAGTGGGGATAAGAACAGGCAGACTGACTGAAATACAGTGCTGAGGGGAGCAGTAGGTGAACCAGGAGAGGTATTGATGCACCATGTGAGTCACCTCCCTGGCCCATGATTGAACTGGTGCTGCATTGCTGTGCTTTCACCCCTTAGGCTGCCAGGGAGGCCCTAAATTTGTTATTTTTTTAACTGTAATTTTGTTTTATATATTCTGAAGCTCTATTATGAATGATATACCAGTTTGTCACATTGACACAGCAGATTAACTCTTAGTTATTATATATTTCTCTTGAGATGAAGCTGTACTTCTTTTATTAAACTTAAGGTGTTTTAATATTAGTTTACCTATATCAAATTTTCTTTTGTTTGTCTTTACAAGACATTTCAATGCTTTAACCTTCAGTTTTAATTTTTTTGGTATTCCTATATTTGAGAAATTATACTTAAATATCACACATAGATGAAACTACATCTTTATACTGTGGTATTATATTATTAATTTTGAAATAATTATTGACATATCTGTATAAAATGATTTTAATATAATTTTCTAAATGTCTATATAATGTCAATTTTCATCTTGAATATAATATGCCTTTTTTTCTGTCTACTTTTAAGATTTTCTCTTTGCCCTTATTTTATTCCACTATGATACTCTGATTTTTTAAAATTTGTTTTTAATGTAAGATTTGTAGTACATCTCAAATCTGTCATTTGATCTCTTTCAGATTTAGGAAACTGATTCCTTCTGTTATATGCTCAAATACTGTTTTTGCTTTTTTTCTCTCCTTTCTAGTAATCCATAAAATATGTTTGTGAGAACTTTGATCTATAAATCATTTCTCTGCTATGTCCTTTTTTCTCTTTGATTCAGCCTAGATACATTTCTGCTGATGATCTTCTAAGCTTATCAATTCTCAAAATCAATGGATGATAATATACCATTTAATCCTATCTAGTAGACTTCAGTGAGATTTCTGATTTCTGCTAACTACAGTTTATTTTTTCATAAATTTTACTTATCAGGTGAAATTTTTCATACCATCATCAGTTTTATAATTTTTATAAACCCATTCTTCTTTGGCATGCTTTATTATATTGATAGTAGGCACCAAAAGCAAGACTTTCTTTCCAGTTTTCACAATGCTAAGCACTGGAGGTAACTGCAATGGAAACACTTAGCACTTTTATGCCATTGCTTCCTATTATGCAGGCATATGCATTATGCCACTAGCATTTGCTTCTTTGTCAGTGGAAAATTTCTTCCACAGCAAGACAGTGGTGTACAGAAATTCCAGAGATACATGTGCTTCAACGAATCTCACCAGTATGTCCACATATTGTTTCCCAGTCAATTGCACTGTCAATACAGTGAGCAAAACCTAGTGGGCCATCCTCATACCTTCTCCGCAGAAATCTGAATTTCAACAGGGATGAGGGCATAAGTCCAAGTTTCTTTCTTTTTTGGGTACTCTCCTTAAGTCTTAGATATTCTTATTATCTGTCATTCTCTCTATACTTTCTAGTACATAATATCTGGTTTTTAATTAATTGCCTTTTATAGCTTTATTTTCCTTATTATATCCTTATTATATTATATGTGACTTATGCCTATTAATAGTCTCTAATGGTTATCCATTATCTCCAGTATCTCGATTCCTCAAATCTTGGCTTCCCTGATAAGTTTGAATTCTAATTTGTATCTCCTTAGTATACTGAGGTTGATGACTTTTCTTCCCACTAGCAGACATATTCATTTCAAATTTGAGCTTTTCTCACTGTGTCACTTACGAATCAATTCCTAGAGGGAAAATCTTATCTCATTGACTTTCTTGGCTGCC